ATTATTATTATTATTATTATTATTTCAAATTTCTGTCCTCTATAGGTAGAAGACCATAGGGATATAACAAGTATGTTTTACCTGTGGGTGTAATAAATTAGGGTGACATTTGTAGACCAACAGTGCAACTGTAAACGGAGTTACGCCCTTCTAAGCCCATTAACATCAATGCATTTAGAAAAGTATAATTCTGCACACAATTGCACTATGAAAGTGCAAGACTAATTTCCCACAAGTCACTGCTCCACCCTCACTCTTTCATTTACCCCGATCGTATGTGTCAATCTCCTACTATTTGATGCATGGCTGCATTTTGCCCCACAGCTTTGCCCGATTTCCCCCATGTCTACTCGATCCTCAAAAAACAGGATTGAGTAGATGTGGGGAAAATTGGGCAAAGCTGTGGGGCAAAATGTGGCTGCGCAGCAGATAGTGGGAAATTGACACATACGATCGGGGTAAAGGGAAGAGTGAGGGCGGAGCAGTGGCTTATGAGAAATTGGTCCAAGACTATTTATCTTAAGCCTTGTACTCTTGACAGATGATGGACAAATATCAAACAGGGGCAGAACCCCCCGCCCCAAAATTAATTTGTACATGGAATGCAGACTCTTCCGTCACTTTCTTGCAATGAAGGTGAAACATTTGTTGAAACTAGGGCTTCAAGCTTTAATCAATTGACTCAATAAAGTAGTTATGTTAATATTTAACTGACTCTGAATGGTTCTAGATGAGCTGAACTACCTTGACCCTTTTCACCCTGGTATCTGAACTAGATGTGGACCTTCTGCCTTGATTGCCTTCTACCAGGCAGCCAACAAGGGAGTATGTCCTGGACCTCTCTGTGTCCTTCTGGACTGGTTTAGATTAGGGAACATTGATTTTTGGATTGGTTCCTCTAATTCCTAATGGGTATATTTCATAGGGGGGCAATGTTCTGCCTAGTGGTCATTACTGTAATTACTGTAGCAAACTCTACATGAAGCTGTCTTGTAACAGGAGATTCTCGGTATATATGAACTTCCAGGAAAGGTCATCTGAAGATCTGAAATACAGTAATTTAAACATGGAGATAATATTCAACAATATCTTTTTCGTATGGTTTCTGGAGGTCAGTAGAATCTCCAAACTTAGACTTGAAAACAAATAAGGGCTGGATGTGTAGACTGAAATTTAACCTAGAAATGATCTGCAATTAGCTCTAGACCCTATTTTGCATGGGATGTATGCCCCCCCACCCCAAGGATCAGACAGTAGGCATAGTACTGCTTTTGGGAAAGGAGGCTGTTGTGTAGTAAAGAGTAAGACTGACTTGTCCATGTAAAAGAATCAGTGTGTAGGAGCTGTGTGAGCCATTTTGGTGAGTTATTGATATATAGTATTCAGGATGACCACCTTTATTTTGGACTGTTGATTTGTTTATTGAACAATAACTATATTTAATATTTGTTATTATGTTTAAATTGACAGAATGTTTTGGATACCCTTGTGGTGCATTGAATTGCAGAAGTTCATTGAATATTGAAGACTGTATGTATTATTTCACAATTTTATTAAGTTGTATTTAAGTCATTTGTGAGACTTTTTGGAGTTTCTTGTTTCCTATTATATTGTATTTGTTATTGTTGATAGGAGATTGAGAAAGATCACTCGAAACGAACGCAGATAGACTCGAGAAGTGTTCGTCCTTGTTCCTGTGCTGTATACCTGCTAGCACCTGCTGGAAAACAAATATTAAATTACATCTTTGATATTTGAAATGTATTACATCTTTATATTTTTGTGAACTTTTTCAGCAATTTATTTTGTATGAATTGTTGAAAGACAGTTTTTGTACACACCCTTGTTCAGAAGAAGATCATTGTCGAAACGGCACACCATTCCGGAGACCACCGTCTACATTCACTATATATATTACTTATTTTCTGTTATTGTATATTATGATTTATGAATATATTACTAAGCGCTAAATTGTCACAGTTCT